GAGGTTTTCAAAACAGATTTGTTTCTTGCTTCTCAACTATAATTAATGCCACACTTAAGAAAGTTTAAAATAGCACCTTTTGTTTTAAATTATGTACCAGTGGATATAACTGTGACTTTGGCTGCTTATTAGATCATTTAAGAAAATTCAGCTTCCTTCTTCATTTATTTCTTTGTCTCTCAAAATCCTCCCAACAAAAGTTGATCATTTTACAGCCGGCTTATAGTTGAGCTGAAACTCATCTTTAACATTGCAAGAGTTGTACTGATGACATAATCTTTCTGTGCTCTGAAATACAACCCTCTGGTTGGAATAGACCCAAGGGCTGCTAAAGTTATAAAGCTATACACTCCCAGACAGGAAGACAGCCAAGACTTCCACCAGGGCACAAAGGAAGCTGAATTAAATTCACTGTCTTAAGGGACCACTTTCAGTTTGCTTTTCCTCTTTGAATTCCAAAACAACACCTCAAGGATTGTACCTTACATTTTCAAATGATGCTACAACATCCATGGAAACCTTTTGTTTTTGTTTTTATTTTGTTTTATTGTGTTTGTTTTGTTTTGTTTTGCTATAGGGTACATGAACTTACTAGCAAACAAGAGAGGGAAAGTGAGAAATTACCCCCAAGGAGGGATAGTCACACCACAATCCTTTCTCTTCCAACCTCTTCTCAGGATTTTGGGCATGCACACACATGCACCCAGCATGATTTTCAAACCACTGGGTCCAAGGTTCAAACCATGTGGTCAGCCATGTGGGATCCAGTTGCCTTAACTTCTGCACCACCTCCTGTACTCCATAGAAATCTTTAGTACTCTGTACATGTTGGTGTCAGTCAAAAAAGTCCACCTCTAAAAGTGTAAAAAGAAATAATTAATATTGACATAAGTTTCCTCTGTATTATTATTATTATTATTCTCTATATTATTTTTTTTTTCATGGTTAGCTCTCCTGCTAACTTCATGTTTTCCAACTGATCCACGTTAATATAATGTCTGGAACACAATAGGTATTCAATAAATGTTAGCTAATGGATAAATAAAAGAAATACGCAGACAGCCAAACATGAGTACACTACTTAGATATTCCCTTTTCTCCTTGAATCCTGAAGTCAGTAAATAATATGTTGGGTAATTTGGTAATTCTTGAATGCGTGTTTCAAGCCATCAACTCCAAAATACAGCCTATCCCAAGTGGAAAGGGAAAGAAGTCCAGGAATGAGCAAGAGAGAATGAAGGTCATTGACAAAGTTGATGGAAAGCATGTCTTGACACATTTTCATTATAAACACAGTCCTCATCCTAAATTTATAAATATGCCTAAAGTCACCACAGTTAGCTTCTGACACCCTGTTTTCCATTCCCCTTTCCTGCTAAACTGCTTTCACTTGGCAAAGCTCTTCAACCAGACAGCATTGCTGCATGTGATAAAACATGGTGAGATGTTTAAAATTTGTTAAGGAACTACTTATGAGTAACTTGCTCTAATGATCTATAAATTAAAAATTAATTATAATCATCATTGTAGAGATTAACCTTGACCTGAAACATAATCTCATGTATTCTGAAAAAGAAACAAGAACCTCTGCCCTCTTTGTAATGACCAAGAAACCTCCAAATCTTAATAGTTGTTTTGAAAGAAAGATGAAGTGAGATGATCCCTCCTGCATTCCATTGGAATAACACAGAATACACACCTGGGTAGTGGTGTGCACGTTCAGTGTGAGTTAAATATGATTTAGCTAAACCAGGGAGTGGCAATACTATTCTCAATGTTGTGATATTATCTTTGATTTGTGCCTTTGAACATGTCCAGAGGGACATGACCAGAAGTGTGAATAATTTGAAATCCATACCTAAAGCAATGGGTGGAAATAAGACTCTATTTGACCCAGTAAAGGGAAAATAGCAAGAAGACTGGTGACTGGCCTCTTACAATGGAAGCACTAATGTTCTGTTCCGTGAGGCCCCAACTAGTAATGCTACGTGGTGAGTAGGATTCCCCAAGAGGCATATCCAGACCAATATGAACAATAACTAGAAACTAGAGGGGGCTGCCTAGAGGCAATGCGTTCCTCATTCCCAAGGACTTCAAGGGGAAGCTTGATTGTTGCTTCAGATATGTTATTGAGATAAACATCTCCACTCCAAGACTCCTGCAGTGGCATAGAAGCCTTGAGAGGCAACTGACCAGATGTTTGCACTATGTGCTCATGGGAAAGGGTGTAAAGGGATAATTCCATGCTTAGTCTAACTGGGATTAGGCACTTGCATGTTCTTTCTCTCTCTCTCTCTCTCCTCTCTCTCTCTTTTCCCTCTTATAATTTGTTTGGAAAGTCCTCATGGAAAGGTAGAATTTTTTTTTTTTTTAGGAGCTACTTAGAGAAAATGAGGTAAGATCCCAGATGATAGGGGATGGAAGGTCATGGGGGGGAGGGGACCTCCAAAACAAAGAATATTTGGAAAATACAGATATTACTAGGTTGTCTGGAAAGTCGTGATATATTTTTCTGTTTTTTTTTTTTCTATCCAAAAATGCATCGTGACTTTCCCAACAACCTAATAAATGAGCTGGCCTGAGAAGAGGGCATAGTTCAACAGTGAAAGGAGTCAAGGGAAGATGGGTTATCCGTAAATAATGGATCCACATAAAAAGACAGGAAATCAGTAACCATCTAGTGTGAAGTTATTAATCCCATGAGTAGCAGAACTACCCTCAGCACTTGCCCCACAACGTGGTGCCGTCACCAGCTCTAAGTTCTACTTCTCGGTGCTGACACTAGAAAAGGTGAGTACAATCCATATTGGGATTGGATGCACTCCCCAAGTCTGGATTAAGGACACATCCTTCATTACTTTTCAGATAACTGCTTGGGAGTTCAATACACTCCAAAATTTATCTTACCATACATCCATGTCCTTCCCCTTGATTTTTAAAACAGCAAATATTTTTTAATAGAATGAATTGATTGTCACACCTGGCTAAAACAAATACATTTTCAAGCAAAATTTTTCAACAAAAAATCATTCACTGATATAAATATAGTTATAAATGCTTTCTCTTCCTTAAAGAAGACCATGTCAGTTTTTATGGTGCTGTTTTGTTGTACTTTAAATCTTTCCATTAAACTAAAATGCTAATTTCCCCTTAGATGATTATAACATAGATATTTTTTGACTTATCATATCTGAACAGAGAAATAATCATATATGTCAAGTTCTCCAAACCACATGAAATTTAGGTAGAAGAAACCTTAAATGTATTATTATTGAGAATGTGAAGCCTTAACTCCATAAATAGCAATGATTTTTCTCTGAGATCTCATATATATATATATATAATCATCCCCTGGGACCAGCAGATGTGTCATGATTGAGTTTCTAGACTCCCATGTAAGTGGACCACAGTTCGAGTCCCAGACCCAGTGGTAAGCTCACACTGGGTATGTGTGCATGTCCAAAATCCCAAGAAGAGAATGGAGGAGAAGGGATTACAACGTGGCCATCCCCCTGGAGGGTGATTTCTCACTTTCTGTCTCTCTGTCTCTCTATCTGGCCAGTTGCACACATTCTATAGCAAAAACTCTCTTAAAAAAAACTTCCCCCAAGGATAACTCTGAAGCCAGAAAAGCTAGCTTTACTATCATAAGTTCAGAAATTAAAATGAGACTGACTCTTAGCTGTATTAAATTGGAACTTGCCATGCCCTTTTTCTGAGCTCTTCAAATCGGATCCTGTTCTGCTTATGTGCACCCCAGTTGTTTTTGCCTGACATACACCAATAATCATTTTGATAGGAAAAGGGTGTGTTTAACAAAGAAGAGCTGCTAACGTATTTGAGCCAGAAAAATAATCCTCAGAAACACCCTCTGGCCATGAAAAAATTATTTTTTTCAATGAGAAAGTTTCATGGTAATCTTGGACATGGGATCTTACCTTCATGCCATCTGTATATCCTACATTATTACTATCAAACTGAGTTTTAAGAAGGCTCCAGTTAGTGAAAGATCCATCTCTGACCAACCAACACCACTGCATAGAACCAACTATTATGTGATGAAAAGAAAGGAGTGATTTTAGTAATTTAGAGAAACTCACAACCCTTCTAAAACCAGACCAAGTAATTGTTATGTCCTTCTTCTATTGGGTTGTTGGAAAAGTCATGATGTATTTGTCTATGTTTTTCTATGCAGAAATGCATCAAGACTTTTCCAGCAACCCTATATTATAAATAATGATTTTTAAGCCAGACCTGACTATCTGGGGGAAAAAAAAAACAAAACAAGACTTGCCACTAATGCACCTCACAGTCTATTATTAATGAACTGGAGATGGTCACGTGATGTCCTTAGGAATGATCATAATTCAGAAACAAAATTAAGGCTCCATCCCTGAATACGTGTCCTGTTTAGGACACCCCCACATTTCCTCTCATATTCAAAGATCATGTGTTGAGTGACCTAGTACAGAAAATCATCTCATTTATCTGGAAATGGAAAGCATATATATCAGGAGAGAAAGGGGAAAACATGGAACAGAAAACCATTTGTTTTTCGAAAAAATCATCTTCTAAATAGAAAGCTTTTTAAAAACCATTGTTGAAAACTTCCATTATTGTGGGTAAAGCATTTCTCTCTCAGTCATTGATGGGCAAAATTTACCTCTAAAGTTTCTAAACTTGGCTTTTAAAAATATCTCATTTAATGAAAAGGCCACCATTGTCTGTGGCCTGCTTTCCAAAATACTTTTCCTACCATTAAAAATCGGGGAGAAATGAAAACAATTGCCTGTGGTGTTGGAGGTGTCCTCTGGTCTGGGGTGCTGGCCTGTGCAAGTCCCTCTTGGCCCCAGGCATGCTGGTTTTGTAAATGCCTGCCTGGGGCCTCTGTGGGACACAGGAGGCTCCGTATGAATGCATGGGTAGGGCAGGTCTTGGGGAACCGTGCTCAGGCAAGTAGCAGATTTCTGATCTCCAGTTTGCATTGATCTTACATTTAGACACAGATTCAGAAGAACAGACCCTCCCTTTTCCAGTGCCTTCGGAAAGATTGCCGCTCCGTAGAATGAGTCCTTTCTCCTCTACCCTTAATCTACAACCCAGCTTTCCCGGGAGATCCTACTTTGATTTGCGATCCTCACCCCACCAGCTGAGCTTGCATTCCTCTTTACAGTCTCTCAATACACCGGGTGAGCTGAGCTCCTCAGACCTTTCCTCTTGCTCTCTGTGCCTTGATGGCATCTCCGCAATACCTGTTTTGTTCTTGCCATTCATGTGCGTGGTAAGAGCGATGAGCTAGTCTGTGTCTGTGGCCTGCTTCCGGTATGAGGAGCATTTGGATGATAGAGCTTTGTGGCATTCTTGTTCGTGCGGTGTGAGGGCTGGCCCGTGGAGCTGTGGTCAATGTACAATGGCATTGGAAAGCGATGAGTGAAGTGGTTCTTTTTGCACAAGCTGGTACCGCCATGGATATCCCGCTCTGTCATCACATGCAGTGGCATAGCACGGCACAGGCACTGGCTGAGTGGAGGCCGGGGCAGTAATTTGGAGGTTTGCAACCCTTCTGAATCCAGGAAACCAGCTGTGGCTGGGAGACTGGATCAGTGCATCCAGCCTGGAGTGGTCTGATTAAACATAGACTCAAGAGATCTTCTTTGACAAAATGAAAGTAAAAAACACAGCAACAGCAGAAGGCATCCTATGAAGCAGGCAAACCAGAGAGTAGAGGGTGAAAGCAGTTTCTGCAAAAGCCTGTGCTCCCTGGTAGGACAGTGGGGCTCACGGCTGTTCGTTTCCCTAGTAAGGGGAAGGACCACTGCTAGCTGAATTAGAGACCCTGAACTCCTAATGCCTAATGCCCAAAGATCCAAGTGACCGGAATGTCTGGCCTCCTTTAAGTTTCCCACAGCCAGGCCAGTTGTGACAGGGCTTACGGCTGACTCGAGGGAAGCGAGCCTTGGGTTACCTTGCAGTGAACTCTGTTTAGCATATAGAACCTTAAAATCTCTAACGCGTAGAGCTAGTTGATCTCTTCAGGACTATATTGTAATCATGGATACACATGACGCACATTTCACATTTCCGAAGGTTTCTTTTGTGTTTTATTTTATTTCTTTGCTCACCCCATATTTTGGAATGAAGAAGGCCACAGCATGACAGTGCAAAAAGGATGCAGGGACTTCAAGCTCTCCTTAAAATGACATTTTTTCTTTGTGCTTTTACGTTTCTTACTGTTTTTCTGTGCACTATTGGCTTTCGAACATGCTTCGTGATGGAATTCTTTTTCACTCGTGTCTAATGTACTAAAATATTGTTATGGTCTTTGTATTGTACATTGTCTCAAGAATACAATGAAATGTGGGTTTGGGGATCCTTGGCGGGTATATTCTACATCACTCTAGTTATACTGTTGAATTTTAAATGTAAAATGATGTGTTTAAAGTAGTGCTAAGAGATTTCAGAATATTTGTTTTGAAAAAGACGCACAAGGCATGATTCATTTAAAATTTTTAAAAGCCCTATTCAGAGCCCACAAATTTATTTCCGAAGCTACCTATGGGAATCCGTTTTAAAGCTCCAAATAGTCCATACTCACTATGCTTTAACCCAGGAATAGGAGCCAAGGTCACAATGAACAGAAACCAAGCAGAAAAATTAGCCATGACTTGGAAGAAAATTATTCTTTCGCATATAAATTGCATCTCATAGTGAAAACAAACTAACCAAAAGTGTATTAATCTTTTTGTTTTGGCCCAGTCATTAGCCTGCCTTTATAGTAAGTTGCTTTTTAAATTCTTGTAAAATCTTCTGAGTCTGCACATTATCCTTCCATTGTTTTAGAAACTGGCATGTAAATTGAGAAAAAAATTAAATGGCCTTTTCCCTAGTGCTCTTCAAAACCAAACTTTTCTAAATCAGTCCTGACCCCACCAGAAAGTATAAGTCACATATTTTTCAACATTTTAAGACTAGATCTCTCAGGACTAGCATTTGGAGAAATGGTTACATCACTGGACTCTCACATGGCCAACTGCAGTTCAAGTCCCGGACCTGGCAGCTTGAAACATGTTGGGCCCATGTGCATGCATGTCCAAAATCTTAAGAGGAGAATGGAGGAGAAGGGACTGTGGTGTGGCCAACCCCCCTTGGGTGATTTCTCTCTCTCTCTCTTTCTCTCTCTCTCTCTGGTAAGCACATGACCCTATAACAAAAATCTCTCTAAAAAACAAAGCAAAAAGACTAGACCTCTCTCCTTCACCCCAATGCAGCTTTCATGGTGTAGAGGTAGTCAAATCTTTTTTTTTTTTTTAAGAATTATTTATTGAATTTTATTTATTCATTACTATTTTTTTTTTTTTTTTTAGTTTGACCAGAGAGAGACACACAGAGAGGAATAGAGAGACAGAGAGAAAGAGGGGAAGTGAGAAAGCAAGCCACCAGGTCTGGAACTTGAACCATGGTCAGCCATGTGGGAGTGTCCAGCGTCTTAACCACCATGCCACCTGCTGGTCCCCAAGGTAGTCAAATCTTAAGGAAGACAGATGTTTAAAAGTTCCACAGGTGGGACCAGTAGATGACGTAATAGTTACATCATTGGACTCCCACGTCGTCGACAGTGATTCAAGTCCTGGACCCGGCAGCTTAAAACTCACACCGGATGCATGTGCATGTGTATGCCCAAAATCCTGAGAGGAGAATGGAGGAGGAGGGATTGTGGCATGGCCATCCCCCCGAGGGGTGATTTCTCGCTTGCTATCTCTGTCTCTGTCTCTCTGGCGAGTACACATGCCCTATACAAAAATCTCTCTAAAAAAAATAGTTGCACAGGTGATCCCACGCCCACCTCCCTTCTCCCCCGCCTCAGGTAAGGATTGATGTAGTAAAACAATCTAAGGAGAGAAGCTAATTTTTGCTTTTACTGCACTTAATTACATCATTATTAATTCCCATCACTACTAATAATTATCATATGTATTTATTGACATATGGTTACATTACACATTTAGTTATACATGTATCATTTAACTTAGGCCCCAGACATAAGGAAGACTGGTTAGAGTTAGAAATGCCTAGAATAGTGATACAGAGCAGAGCAGAATTTTATCAAGAGCCAGTGATTTCTCCATTTCAATTGGATAATTTTTCTTATTTTAAAAAGTTGGCCTTCTTATGGAAACTTTAGTGAAAAATTTGAACCTGGAAGTTGATGAAAATTTAAGCTTCAGAGTTTATAATCAATTGGAGAAAGAATTATTAAATGGTAATAAAAATGTAATTTTCATTTTGAAAAGACAGAGATGCAGTATTTACCCAACCATGTAAACGAACATAAAAAGGGCTTTCTTTTTTCATGAATCAGGCCTCTAGTGACTGTATTCAGCTGGTGCTTTTTAAGTGTGTACAAATAAGTTTTATCAACCTGGTTGTCGTTTCATAGCTTTGATGTTTAGTATCTCTTTATAGGATGCAATTTTGAGACACAATCTGCACCTTACTCTCAATTAGGCAAGTATACCTATTGTAATTGTTATAATTGGTATGTTCATTTTCTTTCACAAAATAAATGGTGGCAGCTTACTTTATGTCGATAAAATTGTCCATTGTCATTCTAACCCCAATATCATAGTTCCTCACATTCGTAGGGGAAAAAATGGGAAAGATGCCTGTGTTTTTAATTTTATACCTCAAAGCTTTTTTCTCTGCTTTTTTAATACATCAATGCAAAGCACTCTTCATGAGCAGTTAATGTGGGCACCGTACCTGTCAGACCAACTGTCGCGATGTATGTAGTGTTTGAAACAAGCCCTTTTTTGGTGCTAGCCTACCAATAGAGACACGTTTTCTTATCAATGTCAATTTTGCTTCCTATTTCTCTTCCTCATGCCTCTCCCTTGGAATGACCACAGTTGACATTAAAAAGCTGTTGGCAGGTATGGAATCACCTTATTCTGTTACAAATAGCAAAGATGGAAGTGTATGTGAGGTAGCTCACAGGTTCAATTAATCAGCAATTACATCTCCTCCACAGTGTGATATTTGCAGTGGAATTTGGAACTTGGGGCATAACAATGTATCTATGTTCAAAAATACTTACGCTTCAGCAAAATATCTTCCTTATTCCTGTTAGGAGTAACACAGTCTTTATGAGTTACGAAGGAAGCAATGTGTCCTACATCCAAGTCACAATCGCTCATGAAAACTAGTTTATGTTGCTTATAGCTTTGCAGCTTGTGAGCTTTCACTAGAGCAAGGAAAATTTCGAAATGACTACATTGTACCACGTCTGCCCAAGGGCTGTTTCCTGATTTCACTCAGTGTGTTTTATCCCTCCTTCATCTAGGACTCTAGATCCTAGCCTCCCCGGCTCAGGGGTTACACAGGCATCTTAGCACATCCCTTCTCCCTTTATGTCTCTGGTGCACTGTTCTGCCAGTCACCAGGTGAAGGGACTTGCACCTTCCAAAATCGATGCCACTTCACTCCCGGATCACCTGGTTGGGAGTGCAGTCTGAGCCAGGTAACCCCTGCTGAATCGGTCGTGTGTCCTCCATCGGCTTCTGGTGCAGAGAGTGCCAGCTCCCAGGACGTGCCCCTGTCTGCTCACTTATGGCCCCTCTGGCCCCGGACACCTCCTTCCTGCATGGCAGCATGAAAACGCAGCACACCGATCCTCACCCGCCCAGGAGTGTGTTACAACGCTGAGCTTGCTGGGTCCATCTTAATAACCCAATTCCCTTCTGTTTTCCCCAGTGGCCTGGTTTGCTTTCGACCCTGGCTCAGCACACTCAGACATCATCTTCTCCAATGACAACCTGACAGTGACCTGCAGTAGCTATGACGACCGAGTGGTGCTGGGGAAGACTGGCTTCTCCAAGGGTGTCCACTACTGGGAGCTAACAGTAGATCGCTATGACAACCATCCCGACCCTGCCTTCGGCGTGGCTCGCATGGACGTGATGAAGGATGTGATGTTAGGAAAGGACGACAAAGCTTGGGCAATGTATGTGGACAATAACCGGAGCTGGTTCATGCACAACAACTCGCACACCAACAGGTACCCTGCAGCCCCCGAGCCAAGCCTACTTCACGTTGGCTTCCGGTCAGGACGGAGAGCCCTGGTTTCAAGACCTATGACTTAGACAACACTAAGGAGGTCAGGGAGGTGGTCAGTATCAGGTAGCACAGGAAACGTGCTACTCTCCACCCAGCCCATCCTGGTGGTTCATTTTTTGCATAATGATAAAATTATGAATACTTTCCTAGGCCCTCCATTGCTATATCCTACCCATGGCTGGAAACTAAGACTCCCCACACATGTCCATTATAGGGAAACAATCCAGGGTTCTAAAATCCAGACAACAACATACTAGAAAAGCCCTTTGGGACAAATTACTTCACGTTTCAGAACCTCAGCTAATAAACCTGCCCAATCAGTATAATCCTATTTGCCCATGCAGGAGTGTTCTGAAGATTGAATGAGAATGTAGTGAAAATGCTTCACATTGGAGGCATGAGAACAGAAGCCACTGTTCTTCTCCTTATGATTATTAACAGTCCTATTCCTTGAAGAGAAAACATTCATTAAACTAAATCTTACCCATGCCATTTTAGACAGCTTTATGCTTGGAGAACTCTCTTATTTTGGTGTGAATTCAGAGCACCCAGTTTGCCGAGAGAATGTAGTCATCTCCTCAGGATTTTCATCTAGCACCAAAATGCAGATTATTATATTTTCCCCCTGGAGTTCCTTTTTTATTTGATTGCATTCATTGGCTCACTGGCCTCCACTACTTCAGCTTTTTCTGAAAGTTAATCACTGACCCGTTTCTAACCAGCAGAGTCTTAGAGCATCCTGTCCCTTTCGATAGATTCTATACGCCTTAATTCAGGTGTGTATTATTCTCTATCACTTAAAGTGAACACAGACCATAACTTGATATCCCGTGGTTTTCTTCAGTCCTTTGCAATTGAGGAATTCTGTCGCGAGAGTCCTGACACCATCACCCATGGACTACCCGACTTTGCCCTTCTTAGTCTCTTCCCTTTGGAGCACAGTGCATAAACACATCAGCTTCGCACTACACAGAGAAACACACTCTCCAGGCCGAACACATCTGCCTGCATGCAACCTGCATGTCGTTCGTGCTGTCTTTGTTAAACCTGTGAAGTACCGAGATGCACTTTGTAAACCTGTCCTTCAATGGCTGTGTACAGTGCGTATTGTGCGTGCAAAAGATGAAATGAATGACACGTCCAGATTCCGTGCTCTGCTGAGGTGAGGATGAAGTTCAGGACTGCCAGACCTCAGAAAGGGAAGAAAGCCAAATCTGGTCGTGGAGTGGTTGGTGGCACTTTATGAAGCCATCCTTTAACACCTAAGACACCACTCTTTGTAAAATGACATTCGTATGCAGGTTCCTTAAAATCACAGCGTTTCCTACAGTACCATTATTACACTTTACGAGGAAGAATCCTCTTCTTTGATGTTGTCATTTAAGAGCATTTTAAAGGGTCTCTAACGTCTTAATTCGAATTCAGTAGGCTAAAAAATTACCTTTACGGGATGGGTTTTTCTATTTAATGGGTAGTATAAGGCCCCAAATCCAATTTCTCATGCATATGTTTTAGGTTCAACCTAAGTGCTTTGTGATTTTGACTTTCAAATGAAGTCATTTTGAATGTAAAGAGGTTTAATACATACCATTTATGCAAAGTGTGCACCATAGCCAGAGTCAGAGCTCTGAGAGCCCAAGCGCTTTTTCCCCTCATCCTTGGTGTTTGGTTTTCTCCCGTTAGGGCCCAGCAGTGCAGACCCTACGGGATTGAGTTCACTCTCAGCAAAGCAGAGCAACAGGGGCATTCTCCACAGAGGCAGATATCTCTCCCAAGGGAGTAAAACTGGGTAGTGGCGAGGCAAATGCTTACGCTTTTTCTATATGAAGCACAGACATACTCAGGTATACAGTATATCTGTGTCGCTAACATTTTAGGTGAGGAGGGGTGATTAGGAAAAATACGTTTGAGAAGACTGGTGGGGGCGGGCAATCATTTTTAAACTGGTTGCAAAACACTCATTTAATTATACAAAGGGGCCCCTCTAGAGTGACAACAAGCCAGTGAAACCCTGTTTTCTTCTCTTCTGCAGAACTGAGGGAGGGATCACAAAAGGGGCCACAATTGGAGTCCTCCTCGACTTAAATAGGAAAACCTTGACATTTTTTATCAATGATGAACAGCAAGGTCCTATTGCATTTGAGAACGTGGAGGGCCTGTTCTTCCCTGCAGTCAGCCTGAACAGGAACGTGCAGGTAAGCACTGGGCCCCTGAGCACACAGACGGCTGCTGCTTCCGAGGCGCCATGGCATTCAGACAGGCCCCAGAGAGGAAAGCTGACCGTGAAAGGCCCCAACCAAGACAAAGGGAAAAGGAGGAAAGAAACAGCTTGCTGCTGACCTCTAATGCGATGCCACATCAGCCTAAGCCCCTTCTTTTAGAGAGACTTTTGCTACAGCGCAAGACAGAAAGTGAGAAATCACCCCCCGGGGGGATGACCACCCCACAATCCTTTCTCCTCCATTCTCCTCTCGGGATCTTGGGCATGCACATACACGCGCCCAGTGTAAGATTAAGCCACCAGGTCCGGGACTCAAACTGCTGTCAACTCCGTGGGAGTTCAGCGACATAGCCATTATGCTAACTGCTGGTCCCCTAAGCCCCCTCTTAATACATGGACACCGTCCTTAGGTAGCAGCAAATGGAGAATTTGAATTCATGACTGCTGATGATCGGCCCCCTGAGATCTAGTTTCATCTCTAAGTGTTAGGTTGTTGGGAAGTCATGACATATTTTTCTATGCAAAAAAAAAAAAAAAGTGGGTCATGACTCTCCTGACACCCCAATAGAAAGAAAGCCTTTAAGCAACTGGCACCAAAACAAACGAAAAGACTTCCATAAAGCTTCGTGAGTGCCTGGGAAGTGACACTATCAGAGTGACATATTAGAGTTATCAGAAAATGGGAGTGCCTTCTCTCCACTCTTGTTTGGCTCTGTTAACTGCTATGGGGATAGAAAACATAGTCTCTACCTGCAACTTAGTTACTTAGAATTTATTGTAACCATAAAACAACAGGTTCTTCTCATTCATTCAACCGATATCTATAAAGTGTCACCAATATGTCAGGCACTGTTGCAAGTATTTGGGATATATCGGTGAAAGAAAAACAGATAAAAATCTTTTCCTCGTAGAGCTTACATTCTATTGGGTCGTTGGAAAAGTCATAACATATTTTTCTTTTTCTTTTCTTTTTTTTTTTTTTTGGAGAGGTTTTTGCTATAGGGCATGTGCGCTCGCCAGACAGAGACAGAGAAACAGAAAGCGAGAAATCACCCCCCAGGGGGGCTGGCCATGCCGCAATCTCTTCTCCTCCATTCTCCTCTCGGGATCTTGGGCACACACGCACACGTGCCCGGCGTGAGTTTAAGCTGCCAGGTCTGGGACTCGAACCACCGTCACCTACGTGGGAGTCCAGCGACATAGCCATTACGCTAACTGCTGGTTCCTATGACGTATTTTTCTATGCAAAAAATGAGTCATGACTCTTCCAACGACCCAGTAGTTATAGAGGAAAGATGATAAATAATGAGCTTGATTATGACACTAATTCTGTGGTGTGAAGAGGTGATGAGTGCAATGAAGAAAAGATGAAAGGCAGGATAAAGGGACCGTGAGAGCTGGGGTTGTGGAGGGCAGTTGCAGCAGGAAAGGTCCTTACTGTGGTACAGCTGAACCTGAGAGGAGGCACAGGAGTGGGGTTGTGCTCGTGTTCCAGGCAGGGGGAACAGCCTATGCAAAGTTTCTAAGGCACAATGGGCCTCCATGGTCAAAGAAAGGCGAAGAGGCCAGAGGGCTGAGGCAGGGGGAGTTGAGGGGGGGAGATAAGAGTTATGCAGAGGGGAAGGGGGGTGCCCTGCCAGCCAGTTAGGACTCAGGAGTTCACCCCCCTGCTGAGCTGGACCTCTCATTAACTACTGTGACCTTCATTCAGCAGATGGCTGCCTTAAGACAGGATGTGAGCCTTAAAACACTGCTAATGATTCTTTGCCCCATCTAGAACCACAGTCTTAGAAGATATATAATAATAAAAAAATAGGTAAATAAAAGAGAGAAAATAAACTCATTGTTTATCAGTATGTGCAGTAAAATTAATTGTAACCCAGTGACCTTTGTCTCCCTGTCTTCCTGCAAAATAGATGGGGTTGTCTGGAAGGCTGGAATCTAACCTTTCAGACTTCAGCCACTACATTGACAGAAAAGAAAATCATTAGTTGCCCTAGCAGTGAGTTTCAGAAAAACCTCATTCAAAGTTTTTCACCTTTTAGCCATTTCCCTTCCAAAGAATATCATATTAGACACTCTTTAGTGGTTTTCTGGATGTTCTGAGTATCTTTAGATAAAGACTTGGGCTGGGGGAGGCAGAAGCAAGGAGAAGTGACAGTTCTCCACGCAGTGGTTCTAATCTTGATCCATGTAGCTACTTCACCGAGGCTTGAGGCTGGACAGAAATTGGTGAAATAGTTTAAATACCCCCGCTTCTTCATAACTGGCCATTCTCCGTGCAATTCTAGAATCCCTGTTGAAATAATTAGTGGACAAGAAATAAAGGAATGGTGGTCTCTGCTTACTTGTTCTCTCTCCTCGAACTTGGCAGTGGTCACCACAGTGTGACCAGCATTCTCTGCTACCTGCAAGTCAATTCCTGTGTCTCAGCCATTGGGAATGCAATTTCCTCATGTTCCTTTATAAGGGGCAGGGGGCTGAGGACCATAGTACCAATTGTCACCAGGATTTGGCCCCCATGATAGTAGTTAGACTTTTACCACAGAATTCTGCCAAAATTCTCCTTAATATCTAGTAGACCAGAGTTAGAAAGAAGTGAACAGACCTCTTGAATTAGGAATCCACCCACTGAGCACTGAGTATGGGGCCCAGGGCTACCCACCAGGCCTCTCAGGACTCATGGTTTTGTTCCCCAGGTCACGCTTCACACCGGGCTCCCAGTCCCCGACTTCTACTCCAGCCGAGCATCGATAGCGTAAGGATGAGCTGTGGAGGCACCAGCTGCCTACTCTTACCTCTGCCTGAGAGTGACGGCAAGGAGCTCAGCCAGCCATGGTGGGATGCAGAGATGGAAGGAGAGGGGAGAGGAGGGAGGAAAGCTGGTCCTCTGCAGTCGCACACCCACTGCTCTGCCCCATCCCTTCCAACCTCCCCACCACTGTCCTGCCCGCATTTGCTCCACGTCCAGCAATTCTAACCAACAAAGGACCTAGATAGCCCACCTCATCACTTCATTTTCATTTCCGGATTTTGCTTTTATTTGGCTTAATTTTTTTTTATGTAGGTAAGTTAGTTATATTTCGTTTCCTTTCTGATCATGTTACTGGTGACTGACTGAACTGGCACTGCCAAAAGAACAATTCTTTTCTTAAGCTTTTTGTCAAACAAAGAGCTTGTAGATGGGGGTAGGGAAGGGAGAGCTAGATTGAGAGCGTGCGGTTGAACTCCTAGAACTCCTAGAATGTTCCTGCCCTGTTATCACTCATGAATGCTAGCTCTGCACAGCTCACCTCTGGAGGGGGGCAGAGTGAATTAGGAAGTTTTATTACCCGTTGAAGCACAGAAATGTCATCTCCACATCTTCACAGCAAGGCAAGGTCATTAGGATACCCTGTAATTAGGACAGGCCAGAAACCCTGGCTATTGTATGAGACTGGAAAGTCCCTCTACATAGGCAGATCAGGGAACTGAATGATTTGGTTCATTTATTTAATACAACTTTTTAATTGAGAACCTACTATGGACCAGGCACTGTTCGAAACACTCCAATAGTGTTCCAGACACTGTGTGAACAGCCAGGCATAGTCTCTGCCCTTCTGGAGCTTGTTCTAGTAGGGAAACAAAGCAAAAATAAAATAATTACGAATCATCATACGTACGAGAAACAAAATAAGCAAGGGACAAAGAGGCTCATTGGCAAGATCTTTCAAGTTCCCTAGAATGATGCTAACCATCAGAAACATACCAGCCCAATGCCTTTTTCAATTGTGCTATTTTAACTGTGGTACCTGCTGCCACGCATCAAAGCCCTTCTTTGGTAGAAATGATGCCAGCGTTCTCACTTGTGAATGCTACAATGAAATGCCTTAAAAATGGATGGAAAAATACATATAGGTGGTGACCAGAGGGCAGAAGATCCATCCTCAATAATGGGGAATCTTAAATTGCAGTCCACGGCATTCACGTTCTCAGGATAAACATGCTCGTCTCCATGTAACTATCTGTGCCTCTTACAAATGAGAAATTCACCAATCTGCTGCCATTCACAACCTAATTTTCTGGAGTAGTTCATATAATGTGTGAAAGAAAATGAAATTACATGTCATCACTATGACTGATAGAATAATAGTGCATATTACTTCTACCTGGAGATGGACTTACGTAAGTTACTTTTCAGATTTCGTAGGTCGACATGTTTTAGCAAAGACCTAGAAAGAAGTTCTGATTCATTGTTGAGTCACAGTGAGTGAGCCAAGAAACTTACCATGAAAAAACTAAGCTAACAAAGAGAAGGGAAGAGGTAGGATGGGAAAGTTAACAAATTAAAGTGCTGGCAAAAAGTAGTATGTGTAAATAGCTCATTATTTACGGTTGTGCTTTTCTTATTTAGATTTTTTTCTATTAGTTACTATGTTTTTCTAGTTAAGTGTACCTAATTTATTGAAGGGGTGCTATCCTGTTTATGTCCATCTTGGATTTTTTGTTTTTCGTTTTGTTTTGTTTGGCTACAGAAAACTCTGTTGCAGGCAACACTAGTTTGATATTTGATTTACTCTCCCATGAGACTCGATGGCTGGGCCGCTGTAGACTCATAGTTCCTCTTGTTCTTTATTAAAGTCAACCTGCTAATTAGATTTCTAGTGATGTGTAACATGTAGTTTACACTGACTTGCAATTATAGATGCATACAGCTACTGTACTAGAAAAAAAAATGGTCATTTCTGGTGTGCCAATAAATGATTTTTATGAGAGCATAAAGTGACTCTTGAGAACTTCTTAGTCTCTGCCTGTTTGGGCTGGCAATTCCCCTTTTTCAGAGCAACATTTCTTCAGCAAAAGGTAATTGGAAAGTCTCCAGGGCCCTTGGAAGCACGTGCTCTTCACTCCGTTTTCTCAGGAGCGTGGCTCTGCCTCCTGGAATTACTTACCTCCTGAACCTTAACTTGACGGAATTGCCCTGGTATAGCTGCCTGTGAAGTCTGTCTGCAAGCACCGAGACTTATTTAACAAATCTAAAAAAGCCAGGGGCTTGTATTGCAAAATAGAATGTCATTGACTTACTCAACCCTGGCTCCTGTAACATTTCTCTGAATGGCTAAACAATAAAACTGTTTTGAAATCATTGTTTAATAGTAACTAAATTAATATTAAACAACAATTGATATTAATACTTGTTTAATGGGGGAAGGGGGGATTGTGGCTCTTCCTTACATTGTTATTAGCCTTTTGAAATGAGCTGCCTTTGCTTTCTACTAAAAGAAAAACTGGAGCCAGACAGTGGCACAGCGGTAATGCAATTGGAGCCACAAGGACGCGTCTGGGCTTTGGTGTCCCAAGGTCTCTCTGTACACACTGGGCACAGAGACGTTCGTGCTTGTGGTCCAGGCTGGCTGAGGCTGGGAGGATCGTGGCAGGAAGAGTGCTACTGGGAGTCAGTCTCTCACTCGCTGAAGAAAGAAATAAATGAACTTTAAAATAAAAAGAGAGAGAGAGAGAAGCACTGCCTAGAAGTGCGTGATCTCATCTGCAGCTGTGGAGTGGAACGTCACACGGTGGAAGTGGCTGCTGCTTTCTCTCATGGATGACGCGTACTGGGAGTCAGTCTCTCACTCGCTGAAGAAAGAAATAAATGAACTTTAAAATAAAAAGAGAGAGAGAGAGAAGCACTGCCTAGAAGTGCGTGATCTCATCTGCAGCTGTGGAGTGGAACGTCACACGGTGGAAGTGGCTGCTGCTCTCTGTCCACCCGGGTGTCTGCGCCTTCCTTTCTCCACTCCCTGCTGCGATGCTTCTTCCTTCCTCCTCTAGGGGCCCATCTTTCTCCTCCCAGTTCTCTTCTCTTCCGCTCACCACCCAATGGAAGCATTAGCCATTTTTACTTTTCTTGTGGTACTAAGGCGAGTGGAACTCTGATCCCTGGGATTTCCTGGAGTGATTAAGTGATTTGTAAGGAATCATCCTCTTTCCTGGGCATGTGTGCGTGCGTGCCCAAGATCCCGAGAGGAGAATGGAGGAGAAGGGATTGCGGCGTGGCCATCCCCCCGGGGGGTGATTTCTCACTTTCTGTCTCTCTGTCTGTCTCTGTCTCTCTGTCTGTCTCTGTCTTTCCAGTGAGCACACACACCCTATAGCAAAAAACTCTCAAAAAGAAAAAAAAAAAAAAAGAAAAAAAAAGAAAGAAAGAAAGAAACCATCCTCTTTCCTAGAAATGAGTTCTTTTTTTCCTGCCTCTAATGTAATGTCTACATTAATCTTTGCCCATCATCCAGCTCTCTGATAAGAGAGGGCTTGCTGCCGAAGCAGGATTTCTTACTGTAAGTCAAGAGACCTATAATAAAACAAACATCCTCTGGTCACACTGCTTTACAATGTACATGAACACGCTAAACACACCTGCGTGTATCCTTCAAGTATATGTGCCAGCTCCTTCCGCTGAGGCTGGTTAAGGAAAAGCCGAGTCTGACTTAATACATCACACATAACCGAGGCTTCCTATGTCCTATATTTATCTGAAGAACCAGCTTTTTGAATAAACACAGATTCAGGGTTCAGATTGCAAGTGAACAACAGATGTACCCCACTAAACCTCAGACACATCAAGCCCTTTTAGTCTATTACTTCACTCCGCCACAACTTGGCTAAGAAAAGCTGCATAAATAATATTTAGGGCAATCTTCTGGAAAAACAAGGGGCCAAACTTTTATGTCATTTCCATTGGAGAATCAGATATAATAAATAGATTTAGATCATCGCAATGGTGGTATAACCTTGTGAATACACTGGGACCAGCAGATGGCGTAATGGCTATGTTACTGGACTCCCACATAGCTGACCATGGTTCAAGACCTGGACCCAGCAGCTTAAAATTCACACCGGGCATGTGTGCATGCATGCCCAAAATCCCAAGAGGAGAATGAGAAGGGATTGCAGCATGGCCATCACCACCACCACCCCCGGGGGGTTGATTTCTCGCTTTCTGTCTCTCTGGCAAGCACATGTGCCCTATGGCAAAAAATCTCTCAAAAAAAAAGAAAAAAAAAAAACCTTGTGAATATACAAAATCATGAAATATATACTTCAAGAGAGTGAATTATATCTCAATACATAAAGAAAAAAAAATACACCCATTACCTCCTGAGCAGGAAGCAGTGTACATGAGGACAGCTGAGGACACCAGAGCCCTGGCTCTGGCCTGTTAGACAGGATGCCTCCCTTTGCCAAAGCTGCTATAAAGGGGTCACTGTGGGGTCGTGTTGGACAAGAGCCGGAGAAAAATGAGGACTCTCCTTCTGACTGCTCTCAAACTACACCTAAGAGTCTGTACCTGTCCTCAGACCTGTCCAGATGCTTCCTGTCCTCCGAGATAAAGCCACGGCCGAGAGGGAGGAGTCACAGCCCAGGTTCTGACTCCTGACCCTACCTTTCATTTCTCCTTCCCACACTCCTTTTCTTTCCCTTCCCACCTGCTGGGATTACCTCTACATTTTGTTTCCACCTTCCTAAAATGGACCTTCCCCTGCCCTTTTTCTTAAGGCATCATAGTGGAGCAAACAGAAAAACTGGCTCCCATCAAAGAATCATTCACATAACTCTTACTTACCCTTAGTGGGTATCGATCTTGCTCATAACTTATTCTGTCCTCCTCTCAGGAAAAAGTAAACATTCACCATGAGATCTAAGAGTTTCTATTATGGTTTGTATTCTGGCCTCCCTCCCCCATATTTTTTTCTAAAATTCTCTAATAACTAATGAAGATTATTAAATTATAATCTCACTAATAAGTATGTCTGAGTGTTACATTAGAACAACTTGCAAACCAGTATCTTTGAATGTATGGCCGTAATTTTCAATGTGTATGATAAAGAAAACCATTGAGTTAAAGCAGCCAACATGAGAATTCAATGAGTTCTGTTAAAAGCATGCAGTTTCCACATCTCAAAAGTGGACATAGTAAAATAATTGTTTGGATGGTTAAATCAAATAAAAGACTAACGTATAATAGATGCTATAATATGTTAAGTGTTATTAATCTGTGTGCAATCTGTCGATGATTAGCTAAATCCCAATTGAGTATCAGTAATGTTTTTTGGGCTTTTTTGGGTTTTTGGTTTTTTTTTTTTTTTTAGGTTTATGTTGTAAAACACAGGGTACTCACGGAGAGAGACAGAGAGAGGGAAAGTGAGAAATCACCCTTCAGAGGAGATAGCCACACCATAGTCCCTTCTCCTCTAGTCTCCCCCTGGGATTTTGGGCACACACACACACAAGCACAGCATGATTTTTCAAGCTGCCATGTCTGGGGTTCGAACCACAGTCAGTCATGAGAGAGTCCAGCGCCTTAACCACCACATCACGTGCTGGCCCAGAGTATCAGTAATGATTCTTAACCATGATTTTCTTGGGAAGCAATACCTTTCTTTGGAACATAACAAAAAATATTGTTCAATTCTTATGCAAAAATTAATGGAAGAATACAGGCAAGGAAAATCTGAGAAAAAGCAATAATTTGACTTGCATGCACACTAAAATCAATTTCAAAGCAACAATAATCTAAATGTTATAGTACTACTAAGATCAACCACAGAACCACTCAAAAATACAGATTTTAATACATTTTGTACAGAGTCACAAAGGAGGAAATGAAGATTATTTTTAAATGGTGAAAAATTTAAAAATTGGTTAACTATTTGGTAAGCAAAACTATATTCTTAATCATATCACATTCCAGATATTAAAGTATTGGTTCAGCCCTGTAACCTTCTGGTTAAGAGAGCCACATACCACATAGTCAGCTATGGTTCAAATCCTGGACCCAGCAACTTGAAAAAATAACCCAGGCATGTATATGTGCACCCAAAAATCTCAACAGGAAGGAGAGATGGAAGAGAAGAGATTGTGACATGACCATGTTCCATTGAGGGATGCTTTCTCGCTCTCCTCTCTTTCTCTGTGTGTGTGTGTGTGTGTGTGTGTGTGTGTATCTGGCGAGCACACATGCCTTTTGGCAATCCAAAAAAATGTGAAACATGAAATATTAAAACATTGGGACCAGCAGGTGGCATAGTGATTAAGGTGCTGGACTCCCATATGGCTGACCACATTTTGAGTCCCAAACCCGGTGGCTTGAAAATCATGCCAGGCAAGTGTGCATGCATGCCCAGAATCCCAAGAGGAGACTGGAGAAGTGATTGTGGAGTAGCAGTCCCCCAGGGGGGGATTTCTCACTTTTTCTCTGTCTGTCTTTCTCTAGCAAGCACATGTGTCCTATGACAAAAACCTGACATAAGTAAATAAATAAATACTAAAACCTTAATTAACCAGAAAAGGAAAATGTGATTTTTCTGAAGGAAAGGTAAGTCACTTTAAAATACTTTAATCAGTAGGCTCTTTGATTTTGTAGAACTCCTCTGCATTTACAGTTTACATTTTAAATCTCCTTTATTATCTTTATCCATATATCATAGACATCTGTTTTATTCTTTAATTAACTGGACTTATCTTTCTCTACATCCACTTCTACAGCCAAAGATTTATTGGATTTCTTGATTTATTGTTATGCTGCCATTTAACAAACTACTTTTAAGGAAAGATGGTGATATAAAATATGAACTACTCAACACTGGTCTGGCCCATGTTTTCAACCTAGTAGTTAATGAGTGTATAATGACTAAGTCATCTGCCGTAAAAGAGGACCCTAAATGTTCTTACTGTAATGCTGACTTTCAGACATGACTTCAGTGAATTTTCCTAATTGCCTGACGGGCAGTGTGTCTGTCAGATACAAAGAAATGAAGTCTCCAGCCTCATCAATTGGATTGGCTTAAACTGACACACAGGCCAAGGTTAATTGCAGCATCTCAAGAGGTAGGTTTCAGTGTTGGCATTTTGGCAGAAACAATTGTTCTTGCAAAACACGTAAACTTTATCTAGATCTAGCTACTCACTGAAGTTTGATATCCCAAAATAAAAATCACAAATATCTATTTTTTTTAAGATTTTGCCATAGG